ATTCTCATAATCTTAAGACTTTTTTCTCTGAATTTTACGGCTTTATTCTCTTAATGTTATGACTTTATTCTCGAAATAGAAGAAAAAAAACCTCTCTAGCCTGGCCCTAATACTCCGTAGCAGCTTCCAGATTAGGATGAAATGAAAAAATAAGAAACAAGAGCCACTCAGAAAAACAACCAAAACAAACAGAGGTAAAGAGGTTTCACCTTGATGATCGTTAGCGAGACACATGTGGAGCTCCTTCACCGTAGTTCGATCCATAGCAGACTGAACCCGCAGCATGTCCAGTTCCTCCTCAAGGCTGACTCTGCAGAAGATGATCAAATGGGATATTTTCTTCATTTCAAAAACCATTTTACTTTAATTCTAGATGAAGGGCGTTTTTTTTAATAACTGATGGGATGTTTAGATCATATGTGTCAGGCTCGGGTCCTCGATGGCCCATGTACTACTACTGTTAGATGTGTTTCTGGTTTAACACAACTTCATTAAATAATTAGGTCATTAGCACAACTCTGGAGAACTTGACTGCAAACTGTGGAGGTAATTAAGCTCTTTGATTCAGGTGTGTTTGACCAGAGTTTATTCTAAAAGTTGAATTCCACATCCCTGGTTTAGAGTCAGAGATGGAAAATATTTCAAGTGAAATGCTTCATTCTAAGAAAAGGTTAAGGATGACAAAACTGTTTTGTGTTAGAGCAAAAGGCAGTGATGTTTGTGGTTTTTAAAGAGACGTCAACCTTGGGTGTTCCAGTATCTAGGGCTGAAACAAGTAATCAGATTAATTGTGATTAATCGATTATTAAAATAATCGTCAACTAATTTAGTAATCAATTAATGGTTAACTGCAGTATAGAGACTCTAATACATACCTTTAGCTTACAGAGTGACCCACTTAGAGCAGTAATGACAAAAAACTGTATAACTATTTATCAATATTTTGCATTTAAGATAAAAAACAAAAAAACAAAAAAAAGCTTTTTCGTCCTTCAATATGCTCTATCCAGAACTCCACAAGTGGAAAAGTTTTAGTTTGACCTGGTTTAATTCTGTCAAAAATCTTTAAGGAAACTTTCTATCCAATTATTAATCAAAAAAATAATCAAGAGATTAATCGATAAGCAAAATAATCATTAGTTGCAGCCCTACCCATATCCAAATGATTTTTATCCGATGTCTCAACATATTCAAAAAGTGTAGAACAGCAAAATTAATACATTAAACTGAAACTCCCATCTTTAAATATATAACTAAACAAAAACAACAAGCATTCAAAATACATTTTTAGTAAGACACAAAAATTATATTGTTAACAAATATGAAAAGACCCAAAGCAACTCATCATCATTTAGACCCATATATAAGGATAAAAAAAAAATGGAATGTTATTGATAAATACACTCAGTATTTATACGTTATCTACATATCACAGGCTGCCATGCTATGGACAGTCAAAGTTTGGTTCAGAAGGCAGAAGGGAATAATAAGAATATTATATCTATTGGGATGTTGCTACAAATAATTTATATATCAGTTCATTAGAGAACACTGGAGGAAAACCAGCAAAAACATGAATGAATATGAAGCATTAAAGATTCTATCCCAGTGAAACCAAAGCAACAACACAACCAAATTCATTTAAATATGTGGATAAAACAAAACATCCCATCCTAAGTGGAGACTAATGTGGACACAGATTCCACTATGGCATTCACATGTTAGCACTAAACTAAAATCACACTATTCAAATAGTAAAAGTGTAAACATGGAAGTACTATAGTAACTAGGGCTGCAATTAAAGAATATTTTGCAATTCGGTTAATCCATCAATAATTTCTGAAATTAATCAGTTAATAATCAGATAGCAAAAGGTTCCTTAAAGAAGACTTTGTGAAATTAAACCAGGTGAAACTGAAAGTTTTTCTTACTATTTTGGTGTAATTGCTGCTCTAAGTGGGTTGCTCTGTCAGCTAAAGACACGTTTTACAGTCTCTATACTCCAGTTAACGGATTATTGATTCCTTAATTAGTTGACTATTATTTCAAAAATTGATTAATCACGTTTATTTGTCTAAGCCCTAATGGTACAAATCATCGGGGCTCCTCTTCCCTCCATTAAAGACATTTCATCCCCGCGCTGCGTGTCCCGAGCCCGTAACATCATCAAACTTCTGCCCTCTGGAAAGAGGCTTAGCAGCATTCGATGAAGGTCCAGCAGATTCCAAAACAACATCCTCCACACTGTCATCAGACAGCTGAATGTTGAATAAAACGTTAAAAAGTTTTTTAAAAAGCGCTGAATGTTGGAAAAACTATAAATCAGTCTCATTCCTATGTTTACGTTCGATCACCATGTTCACATTTTATCACTGCTGCACTTTAATAAATGAAAATGTCTTGAGAGCTGTACTGAATGAAATTTTGTTTTGTATACACAGGGTGTATACAAAATGACAATAAAGGTTGTCCAAGTCTAAAGTCTAATAGGAACCACTCATAACTGAGAAACTCCATTGAGTTTGCATTTATAAAGTGTGTCAATATTTTCATGAGATCCCAGGAAAAAATATTACCCACGTCTTTACATTATTAGTTGGGGTTTTTAAAACCAGAATGTTGAAAAAGATCCCTGCTTTTGTCATAAAAGTGCACTGAGAATTATTGGAGATAAGATAGATATAAGAATAACACTATTAACTCTGGAAACATGGTTCATAATACTAAAAAACAAAAGGTAAAGAAAGAAATGAAACTGACCAGATGGGTAGTTGAGGATACCCAGTAATATACAACATGGGATTTAATCAATGGGTTGATAAGGGGTCAGAGAATGGTGTATCCTTCAGAAAGCTGGAGAACTGGAGAGCTTCCAAAAATAAAAGACAAATATACTTTGGAAAAACAGAAATTTTACAGATACTTACAGATGAGGGATTCTTATGGTGCAGAAATCAAGGGGAACCCGTCCTTTAAGGTGAATGGAATGATTCGAACTGATCAATGCATTTAGTGGAATAAAAACTGAAATTATATCTATTATAAATTAATGATAGGTAGAAACTTAACTGATTTTGTAAAAGGAAAATGGGAATCAGAGCTTCATGTGACAATAACGAATCAATACTGGAAGGTAATGTGGAGGACGTGGATATGGAAGGAGTTTGCCGGGAAACACCTGATCAGATCTTTTTTTTTATCGCGCCTTAAGTCAGGAATAGATAGAAAATGTGGAACTGTGGATGTAGAAAACTCATATATATTGGAATTATTCAAAACTTAAAGAATTTTGAAAAAATGTTCTTGGAGCAGTAATAAAGATACTGGGATATTATTTCCCCATGAGCAGCCTGTTAATACACCTTTATGACTTTAACAGAATAAAGGTAAAGGTAAGGGTAAAGGATAGGTACTTGATCAAGATAATATTAATAGCTGGGAAGAAAGCTATTAAGAGGAAATGGGAAAGATGGATCCCCCTGTCATGAACAATGGAGAAAGCTAATAAAAGAAATCTACACAGTGGAAAAACTGACACATCGATTTAGACGACAACAAACACAAATGGAAGAAAAGTGGGTGAAATGGAAATTATTTAAAATCAAAGACAGCGATCAAAAATAGGAGAAGACAAATAACAGGACTGGACCAAAGGCTTGTTAGAAGAACAGCTTGCAAGAAATAGGGGCTTTATTATTTTGTATTCTTTTTGAACTTTTTATATCTGCTTTGTATGTAAACAGACACTGAAAATGGTAATAAATAGTTAAATAATAATAAAAAAAAGTACACTGAGTTTTCACACCTTGATGAAAACACATACTGATCAACAACATTTATTTTTAAACTTGAACAACAGATATAGATGCACTTTGGTTGTGTCCTATAATGTCTTTAAACTCTAAGAAAAAAAAAGAGTGTGTGTTAATATTTAAATGTTGCTCAGTTGGTCACATTTTCATCTTTTTTTCTTCGTCGGTAGCAGAGCGTACAGAGCGATGCTGTGACTGCTACAGGGCGTGCATATCTCAGCATAACAACGAGCAGAGAGAGCGTGAATGGGACAGATGCTGCGGTTGACCATGCCCTGCTCTGGGGTTCACCCCCAGATTCCACATCCTCTGTCACCGGCCCGCTGCGCTCATGTAAACCGTAAGGAGCAATTGCCCAGTCATGTTAATTAGCAAGAACTGTTCCACATCCAACGCTTCTACTCCGGACGTCACCATCCACATACGTCTTCTCCATCCTTCACCGTCAAATGGAGCCAAGCTATCTTTTGCTCCAGTTCGTTTGAAGCCGACCAGGTCAAGATCCACAAGCGCAATCCCACCAAACAGCAAAAAGAACCTTCTGCACATCTGGTTTGTCAAATTAAAATATGGTAATGACAAATCAGTAACTATTAATTTGAGCATAATTTCTATATTCCTAAAAATTTTGGATGCACAATATTGATATGTCGGCATACCAGGAAGCAGATTTTTAATTTCAATGAAAATATTTAATTTAAGCTGAACGGTTTATAGTTTTAATCGCCATTGTAAAGGGCCTTAAAGTCATAGGGAATTCATATTTAAATGTCAAATCATTCTGGCTTAAATATGTATATAAATGTACTCTTTATCAGACGATATTGTCTCAAAATTTAGAAAATTTCTATTTAAAAAAAACTCCTGTCCTAATATCTGTGTTGGGTTTTTTTCCGTTATTTTATGCAGGCCAGTTAGTTATAAGTCAGCTTCTACACCAAAATTCAGCCAATCATATCAACGGTCATCTGTCAATAATTTTTTTTTGGTCATAGCATCTCGATTCATATGTTGCAGCTAATATATTCAACAGTTGAAGTAAGAATCATTTCCTTTCCCACTGAGTTCCGTCCCAGTGTTCAGGGAGATGGACGTCTGTGTCTTCAGCAGGCGTAGAGCTAACAGAACTGGCAGCGTTGCGAGGCAAGGGCTCAAACAAGTATGGCTGTAAGCCTTCTACACCAAACCAAGCTTCTGCCGCCTTGGCGTCCTCTTCCACAACAACTTCATCCCGCTTTCCTCCTCTAAATAAAAAATGGATGACAGAGGAGAATCATCCACGACCTCCGACGCTAAACTCTCCTCCTCTTGCATGTTTCCTCTGTCCATAGCGTTCCTTGACAGTGTCGTTTCTAAGTCACTCTCAAACTTGCATGCAAACCTTACGCAGCAATAATCCCGCCCCCTTGATAAACGACCAATCGTATTAAATTATTCACTCATGTAAAGTCGTGCAACAGTCGGTAGAATTCTGAAATGAAACGGTTAGAACAGCCGT